ACTGGTAGAGTATTTAACTATTTATTGGGGTTCCACCACAAAAAAAAAAATCCCTTATTTTTTTCATTTTATGTAAGGCATACCTGAAAAAGTAACCATAAGGCCAAGATTGGGTGAGCAGACAACATTAAATAACGCTTGAAAGCCTGAAAAATGTCAAATGAACGAATTTATGTATCAGTCATAGTCTTCACATAAAGAATGACCGGTTAAAGGAAAAAAAAAATTAAAATGAAAAAAAAAATCTGTGATGAAATCTTTTTTTTTTTTTAAATAAATGTCTATCAACTTGGTTTTGCCTTTTTTTTGCTACATCTAATTTTTGTACAGTTAGTAAATTATCTTCTCAGATAAGTTATATTCTTATCTTATTTGTAAAGACAAAATTGGTTATTTACGTAAGTGATTCTTTTTTTCTTCCCCCTATCTGTGGGACTTGGAGCCAATAACGGATCATTTTAAACAACTCATAACACCAACTAAACACAAATTGAGCTAGTTAGTTAATAACTTACTTTAATAAATCAATCGGTTTCAAGAAAAAAAAAAAAAGAAAAACAAAGGAAAAAAATTATAAGAATTCTTCATGAAAGAATCTAAGATTTAGGATATTTCTACAAATATTCTACCATCAAAAACAAACAAAACAAACATTATATAGTAACCAATTTGAAGATAGAGAATTAAAAAATTACCTGAGGCATGTAAATGCCAACCGCTATAGCACCACTGTAAGCTAACATCAAAATTCCCGTTGCAAGGATTGTAATGTATTTAGGTCCAATTATCGCCGCAAATGTTCGAATGTTATACCTATAATGTTTTAATATTAATTTGAAAACTAATAAATACACCAACTTAAACGTATTTATAAGATTAAAAAGTGACTGATGTAGAAAATTTTTAGATTTTGAGTTCACAAGATGCAATGATACATATAAACTTACCTCATGTCACCTTCTATGTCTGTGATATCTTTTGTGAGGCAAGCTACCAAGTAAAACAACTCAACAAAGGTGATAATGAAAACGTTTGGGGGGCTGCAGGGTAAATTGTAAGCGAAACGTCAGATCTCTATAAAGAGTTAAACTAATGTATATGTATTAATTGAAATAACAAAAGTTATACTTCCAAGTTTTTTTATTTTTATTTTATTTTTATTTTTATTTGTTTGAAGAGAATACTTGTATGTTTTTAGCGATAAAAAATTGCATAGTCAAATAAATTATTTGTTTTTTTATAAAGTAAATATTAAACAATAATTTAGTTGCTTCACAAGTTTTCTATGACAACCATCAAATGCCAGTGTTGTAATTAATAGATCTCGCTTATTATAAATCCTACATCATATGGGACCTCCATTAGTTTTATATATAATCACTAAGC